AATAAATTGCGAAATTAAGGAAAATGTGCCATATTTAAATTTGTCTTGTGCATTTGGGCGCCCTCAGGGTGGTCCCCACGTACTTTCGAACACGACCAACGAGAATTACGAGGAAAATATACCTTCTGTAATGTACAGCATCTTTCACGCCTATTTCGTAGGCTGGTATAGGTAGACAATTCCTCATGCCAGTCTTGGGAACGGTGGTACGGTGTCGCGTCCTGGCTGACAGAGCTAAATCTGATGATGAGTGTATCTTATTAAGTTTTACTGTCTCTTCCAAACTTGGGACAAACGAAATGCGACGATGAATGCTGTGGGTTAGCTGATGATGGTCTTCATTCAGCATTTGCTTTCCCGTCTTCTCGTTTTGCTTCGACTGCCAGGCGAACGTCTCTTCAAATCTGCGCAGAGGTCTTTCTGTACTGTGTGGCGTCAAGATAATCGAACTTGAGGCAATCTAAAAAATATTAAAATTAATTTTAGTTTTAACAGTGAAGAGTTATTTAATGTCGTTTACACAGTACAATTCAATTTAGTTTAATTTTAAAGAATGCGTGTATGTATGCATAAAATTAGGGCATGAACCACGAGGGCATTTCATCTCTGAGCTTCTTCAAAATATTTGGACTAAATTCAACTAAGAAAAAAGCTTAGCCTTCCCTCTCAGAGTACAATTTGTACATAAACGATAAGTTTGTAGAAGCTAAAATGTTTGAAATGCATGTCGAATTGAACATGCCTTTCGGCATTTCGCTCTGTTCGGACATATTTTTATAACTAAATTTAACGGAGAATGTTCATCAAGCTACAAATTAGGCTTTACCAGAAGACGTTCTAGGTGTATAAGGGAAGCTTAAATAAAAAAATAAGAAGGAAACGCCCGTAGTGGACATTATGCTTACCAAGTACTTCGCCTTTTCGACCATGACGGCGACTTAAATTAGTTCACTTTCTCGTCAAATTTTCGCCCTGAAATTGCAGATAAACTAAATATGAGTTAAATAAATCAAAGCTCGGGTATTTCGGAACACAACTGCTAGAAAATGAGAGAGAAACGGCAAAGAAACAAAGCGACTAAGCGCCGAAACGAAGCGCTTGAAGTCAATACATATTATTACAATGAATATATCTACACACGAGCTTCGAAGAGCAACTAGAACTTAACATGAACAACTCAAAAACGTTTTAAAAATAGCTAAATTTAATACTGACCTTTCCCCCTGCATGGTATACCGATTTTATTTCGAATAAGTTTCATAAAAGCGAAGTTTGGTTGCAGTAACTTTAATCGTGTACGCCCTAAACTTCGAAACCTCGAGCAGAAATATTCAAATTTGCCACGAATGCGTAAAGCCGTGAACCACACACCATTGTTTGTTTTGTCAGATTTTTGCGAGCTCTGATTGGTTTAGCTTGTAAAAGATTTGCTGTCATTGGCTACCGCTAAACGCATGCATTGGTCTGAACTCCCTTGGGGTTTGGAATGCTGTAATTTGTAAAAACCGGAATGAGAAAAGCCGTAACCTGTAAAACTTGGACTGAAATTAAAAAAGCCTTAAAGATTCGGGGTTTTTGGACTCCGGATTTTAAAGATTCAGGGGTTATACAATTCCCAGTTTAAAGATTCGGGGTTTTTTAAAGATTCGGGGGATTTTCGAATTCCCAGTTTCGGATTCTTAGTTTTGCTCTACAGTGCTTGGAACGAAATAGGACGCGCGCCTAAGACACAAATCAGCATTGTCTCAAGTCTCAAATTCTTTTCCATAACACACTCGAAAAGACTTGCGATTTTCATGACCAGTGCTGGCCTGTTTATACACAAGTAAATCATCGACAGAAAGCTTATAGATTGTAGATTTTGAATATGGATTCGTTAGATTAGCCCAAATTCTTAGTTTTACTCTACAGTGCTTGGAACGAAATAGAACGCCCGACTAAGACACTGAATCAGCATATTATTTAGAGTCTCAACTTCTTTTCTATATAACACAGTCGGAAAGAGTTGAGATGTTCACGTCCAAACAAAAAGCTTATAGACTGTAGATTTCGAAGATGACAACTTAAACCTGCATTTTATTGAATATCAAAATCTTTTCTATTAAACCGATGCGGTCTTGTGATTTGCTTGTTGCTACTGAGGACTCGATCGTGATGGCTACCAAGTTTAATAGTTTTAATTAATGTCATCTTTGGCATAGAAATACAATGGATCTACAATATAAAATATATAAATACACATCTATGAAAGCCTAAAAAATTTAAAGGTTAAAAACTACTTAAATACAATGTACAGTAAAAATCATATAATTCATGAATTTGATAATGTCCACGCCCTTGGAATAAAAAGACGTGCTATGTCTCGGTGTTTTTGAGGACTGTCTTGGACAGCTCTCTCTAGTCCTCCTCGGTTCGTAAGTTTGATTATTTCTGATGGCTACACGCGTAAAAACGCACAGCTTGTAACAAGTCTGCAAACAAGTCGTTACAAGTCTGTAGACAAGCTGTGAACAAAAGTTGTCTTCGCACTGTTTGTTCCCAGTTTGTTGTAACAAGTTTGCAACAACTGTTAACAACTTGTAACAAGCTTGATGGCATCATCAGCCTTGTTACAACACTGTGCTAACAAGTTTGTTACAGCCACGGTATAACAAGGATGTTACAAGTTCGTCAACACAAGGTTGAAACAATCTTGTTATATCAAGTGTGTAACGGACTTGTCAGAACAACCTTGCAACAAGTCTGATAATTTTGACAAGGTTGTTACAAGTTGTCAACAAGTTGTTCCAAAGCTGTTGACAAATTGTGACAAGCAATGCGGATACATCTTGTTGACGACTTGTTGGCAGACTTGTTACAAGATGTGAAATTTTTACGTGTGTTTTTGAGGACTGTCTTGGAAAACTGTTTCTGGTAAAGATCCTCAGTTCGTAAGTTTAATGATTTCTATAATAGTTTTGTTTGTGGAAACACCACGTAATTAAATTTATTACTGCAAAGCTTCAGCACTGATGAAGCTATATTATTAGCACTGATGAAGATCCGGGCTTACTGTACGGATCGAAAGCTTTGCAGTAATAAATTTACGTGGTGTTTCCACAAACAAAACTATTATATATTTAATCGCCATGCAATCATACAAAGAACTTATTAATGATTTCTGTTGGCTAGATAACGGTCATACACGGGTTGTTTAGGACTTCCACGATTCTTTTCAGCTTGTTCCATGTTTCCAGTCATTCCCTAGTCCTAGGATTCTCAGGCTTCTTAGGAAGAAAAGCTTCTCTGCAAGGAAGAAAATGAAATGCTAGTAAATGCAGTACCGCTGTCAACCAGGGCTCGAATTTTATCGCGGCAATTGCCGTAGAGGGAGAACAAACTGCCGTGGATTATTGCGGCAACGACGGCAATTTTTTGCCGTATACAGGCGTATAGTGCAATTTTTATACTACTCACTGTCATTTACTATTTTGATACTTGAATTCAGATGTTGATCAAATTATGCATAAATTACTATTTTAGTCTCAGTTTTCTTCGAGAAAAAAAACAGTAAAGAAATACGTAAACATATTTCTAGCTTGTCAACAATCCATAGTAACAATTTTATTACAGTAATTTGAAAAAATGCCGTGGAAACTGCCAAAATTGCCGTAGACAGCTGTTACGTTCTACGGCAATTTTTAACGCCATTGCCGTCGATTGATTTCAGGGAAATTCGACGCCTGCTGACAACTCAAGACTTTTATAATACCATAGACTGGGGGTGGGGGGTGGGCTTGTCCCCCAGCCCCTGTTTTGGCCCCCCCAGTGAACCATGTTGTCCGCCCCCCAGTGAAGGTCCCTTCTATCCAGAATATAAGCAAAAAAGCAAAGAATAACTTAGTTAAGAAGAGTATTTTAATATTCCCATGACCAAATCTTTGTCTAGGGGATGAAATATATAAAAGTGTTTAAAAATGCCGAAAATCAAACCCCAGACACTTGAAACATGACCAGTACTGTTTTATCAGATGAAAAGATACGAGGCGAAGCCGAGTATCTTTAGGTCTGACAAAACACGTATTGCGAATGTTTTAAATTGCTTCATTGGCGAAGTACTATTTAAAGTGTTTTATCAGATGAAAAGATATGAGGCGAAGCCGAGTATCTTTAGGTCTGATAAAACACTTCTACTCGTGTTTTAAAATAATAATATGGATGGTATTACAGTTTAGTGTTTCATGTGTTCACATGTTAGATTTGTCAAACATATTAACATCATTGCGGTTCTTGTACTCAAGGTGCCTTTTCAGACCACTGACGATAACGTTCCTGGAATGCGCTCTAACTGAGAGCATCGTCAATTTATACGGCTTGAGAAATTATAAAACATAATAACTCTAGTGGCGAAGCCAGCTTGGATTAACTGGTCATGCAAAGGAGCGACGAAGGTGTGTCTGCATGGGGGCATGGCCCCCTCGGAAAAATGTTTATATATAGACTCCCAGAAACGCTATTTGCAGCAATTTGAGCATCAAATTTCATGAAATAGCTTGACCTAACGAAGGAAAAAATGCGGACATTTTAGCATATTTCAGACAACGACACAAAAATAGGAAAACCCTATTCAAAACATCTAAATTTCGACTGTTTCGCTCAATGTCAGAGCTCATCAGCATGCCTAGGACAGCTTGAATCAAGCAGCCAGACATGGACAGTCAAATCCAAATTATGGACAGTCAAAGCATGCCAACGCTTATACTTAGTTTTTTGTTTTTTTGATATTCTTAAAGGTGTCCACCCTTTGGTGAAGGTGAAATACAAGGACTTTTCCAGGACTTTCAAGGCCATTTTTCAGCAAATTCAAGGACTTAGAACTGGGAAAAAACTTTGAAAATAGCACGCATTAGTAATTCTAATCAAAATCACTAATGTTGACACAGCTGGAGGTTAAGGAAATTCATTCCAGGACTTTCAAAGACTTCTACTCATTTTCAAGGACTTTCCAGTCCTGGATTTTTTTTTCCAATTCAAGGACTTTCCAGGATTTTCAAGGCCCGTGGACACCCTGGATACTTTTATGTTTTCCATACTTGTCCAAAGCCTCTGCTCTCCCCCACCATACAATGGGGACACCACAATTAAGTGAGAATCTCCCCAACTATTAAGGAAAATGGACATTATGAAGTCATTACAATGAAGTGGATATGCCCCCTATAGGAAGAACAGTTTAGAACTGATAGAGCTATCCAGTATAAATAAATTAAGTTAGTTTAGTTTAGGTTTCCTCCTATATAGTAACACTGAATCAATAAGAGATGATCCTTACTGGACCTCTAGGAAGAACAGTTTGGAACTAATAAAACTATCCAGTATAAATAAAGTTAGTTTAGTTTAGGTTTCCTCCTGTAGTAACACTGGATCAATAAGAGATGATCTTTACTGGACCTCTAGGAAGAACAGTTTAGAACTAATAGAACTATCCAGCATAAATAAAGTTAGTTTAGTTTAGGTTTCCTCCTGTAGTAACACTGGATCAATAAGAGATGACTCTTACTGGACCTCTAGGAAGAACATAATATAAATTTTATAATGGGGTCACCACAATTAAGTGGCGAAAAAGTAAGGGGGATTAAGCCTTAACTTTGTTTTAAAATAAAATTAAATGGTTAACCTTCTCTTTTTGGCATTTTAGACCATTTTCTCATCTTTAAGAGTTCCGTAAAGTTGAGAAAAAGGTTAACCCCTCAACTTTTTGCTATTTTTTCTAAAAATACATGAGCAAAAATAAAGGGATAAGCCTTAATTTTGTTTCAAAATAATATTAAGGGGTTAGCCTTCCTCTTTCTGACCTTTTTAGTCTTTAGATAATTAAAAAAAAAAAAACTGGTGTAAAATCATCAATTTTGGTCATTTTTGCTGGAAAAATGGCAAACACATTAAAAGGTCAGCCTTAATTTAACAGCTAACCAATCATCTAACACAAAGACAAAACAAACCCTCCCCCCCCCTCTTCGGAAGCCCTATGAGTCGACTATTTTAAAGCTATCTAACAACAAAAATAATTTGCAAACAGATTGAAAAATAACATATATTCACGAGCATTCATAATGCCTCAAATTTACTACAATTCACTACATTCGTCAACAACTGCTAAATAAATACAAGTACGTTTTCTATCCTAATGAGAAAGAGGATCCACCACCAGGAGGTTTGTGTACACGAGATGAAGGTCGGAACGGCTGGTCGTCATCAACTTGTCCTCCTAAAGGATGGAAAATAAAATTTTAGGACTTTTCAGCTAACATGCCATAGATTTCAAAGTGGCGGTAGGCACCCAGGGGTAAAGGCCTACCTAAGGTGCTGATTACATGGTGCCGAGCTGGCCCGGTTAACCGGGCTGACTCGTTTGTTTAGGACCTTACTGTGGTTTTAAAACTCGCGTAAAATAAATTTGCGATAAATAATTGGTTTAGTATAGATGCAAAATCATCCTAAACCAGATTTAAAACTCATTTTGCGGCCCAAGGAAGATTTTCGTGACATTTTTCAGCCCGGTTAACCAACCGGGCTGGCCCGGTCCATGTAATCAGCCCCTAAAATGCTCATGTTTTGTGATTGGCTTTCAGAAACAAAAATGTTCGTGTCATTGTTCGTGACTCGTTCTTTACAAAGACGATTTCTATAGTTTTATTGTCTTTCATTGCTATAATCAACCAACCACGAGCCTGGATAGTATAGGTAGATGAATGATGACCCAGGGGTGAACAAACGCGCGACAATAAGAAATTTTCAAAATTCATAAAGAGCCCCAAACCACTCCAAACTTTCTTAAATTTGTTGGAAACCATTTCTATTAGCAAACCAGTTAAAAACATGTTTTGAAACATTTTGGTCAAATGTAAGCGGGTGGGGGGACCAGTATTGTATAATGAGGACATGGTATGGAATAGTATGGTATGATATGGTATAATGAGATGTGATGTACAAAGCACCTGCTAAGGAGAATCCAGAAGAGTGTAGATCCCTATGTCCCACCCGTGAGACTTTTTCCTCTCTGTCTTTCTTGGAGTACTGTATGGGAGACAGTGGTACCGCAGTAGGAACTTTGGCTTGAGGGATTTGTACCACTGGGCCAGTGTATGGTTCACGTTCAACTTTCTTTGGCACGCAAACCTCAGGAGAGAAAATTAAATTTTATTTCTTATTGTGCATTTGATGGGATATTAGTTAGGGCATGTGTGACCTATCCAGTATAAATAAAGTTAGTTTAATTTAGGTTCCCTCCTGTAGTAACACTGGATCAATAAGAGATAATCCTTACTGGACCTCTAGGAAGAACAGTTTAGAACTGATAGAGCTATCCAGTATAAATAAAGTTAGTTTAGTTTAGGTTTCCTCCTGTAGTAACACTGGATCAATAAGAGATTATCCTTACTGTACCTCTAGGAAGAACAGTTAAGAACTGATAAAGCTGTCCAGTATAAATAAAATTAATTTAGTTTAGGTTTCCTCCTGTAGTAACATTGGATCAATAAGAAAGGATTCTTAATGCACCTCTAGGGAGAACAGTTTAGAACTGATAGAACTATCCAGTATAAATAAAGTTAGTTTAGTTTAGGTTTCCTCCTGTAGTAACACTGGATCAATAAGAGATGATCCTTACTGAACCTCTAGGGAGAACAGTTTAGAAGTGATAAAGCTATCCAGTATAAATAAAGTTAGTTCAGTTTAGGTTTTCTCCAATAAAGCTAATTTAAAATTTTTAACTTTACTGATAGATCTATCCAGAATAAATAAAGCCATACCTTGTCACGCTGTTCGACTGTTTTGTACACATAATTGGAGTATGTTGGATTTGGTACAAATTTGCCAGCACCTCTAACGACACTTAGCTGTTTAAAATAATGGAGCATAACATGTTACACATAAAACGTTTTAAGTAACCAAATTTTTATGATTTTATGGTAAAGAAAATTCAAACTCACCAACTTAGACCCATCCTATGAGTTCATTGGCAAAGTAATTTTAAAAATAAACATTGTCTAAGGGACTGTTCATTATTTATACCCGGGGTTGGTATATGGATATGGGTTGGGTAATCAAGTTTTTGACTAGCTCATGGGTTGGGTAAAAAAATTTATGGCTGTCTGTCAGCTATAAAATAAAACCAAAATTACCATGCATTATGAAATATGAAGAAAAATGTGTACAGTGCATTCTGTACCAAAATAGACCATCAGTGATCGAGGAAGGAGTCTATCATTGATCAGCAGGAACGTGATTGCTTTGGCACACTCAGTGAGTTTGAGTGTGAGTGAGCTTTTAGAATTTAGACAACTTGATTTCTGTCACGATAATCTTGTGTGCTTAATTATTATGACGTACAGTAACACATGGGTTGGGTAAAAGTTATTTTGACCAATGTTAAGGTTGGGTAAATAAAAAATTTACATTGTTTTTCGCTTCTCTTCTGTACCAACCGCAGGTATAAATAATGAACGGTCCCTAAGCCGAGAAAATGAAAGCTTTAAACATAAATGACCTCGCCATCCTCGTACACGACTACACCACGCGAAACAGTTGCTTGACAAACACCATGACAATCCAAACCTTCGAATATGTTGAAATCCACTTGCTATATATACAATGGAGAAAATACATTTCTATCCAGATGATCTTGATACGCGGAAAAGTGCTGGCACTAGTTGTCAAATAGAAATCCATTTTGTGATTAAAACAACTGAATATCTCCTGTAATATACTTTATTTCGATTCCATATTTTTGTCAGAGCTATGGTTCTCATAACCAAACATAATTACAAAATTTCAACTAGTTTCATAAAGAATAACGAAAGATATAATTGACTGAATACATCAAAATGGATTTCTATTCGGACAACCCTTTCTGAACTACAATTGCAAAAGGGCGTTTGCAAAAGGGCGTTTGAAAAAAGGAGGGATGGAAAAATTTCTAGTTGGGTGCAAGCAGCAACGCTGAGCGAGTTTTTTTACAGGGGTAGGCGTTAGAGTTAAAGACTTTCACACAAAATAGGAGGGTGAGAATTGTCTGGATATTATGGTCAAACGATAATGAAAGTTGATGAGACGTACGGCATGACAGAGAACATGATGAGTGTTCCAACTACGTTTTACAGTAACTTAAATAGAATACATGATAGTGTTGGGAAAGCATTAAGAAAAGCTACCAAGGTCGCGTGACTCCCAACTCTCATGCACTCCCGTAATAGCGAGCTTATAAGATGCACCAAATCTACGACGCGGACGTGACATAAAAACCGTTGCTAATGTTTGGAATACAGTTTTATTTTTTGCTTTACTTGTGTCTCTGACTTTGTTTACCAACTGGATGCCGTAATTTTTATCCGCGTAGTGAAACTGTAGGAATAGTTACAGTTTTTCTTCACGTGTGCGTCGTAGATTTGGTGCATCTTAAGCTCACTAATGAGAGCTACAGTAGTCAACAAAAGCAAACTGGGTATATTCCAGGTCAAATGAGCTCAAACTCTCATCTAAACTAGCGAGTTTATGAAAGTTAGTGAGAATGCATGATAGTTGATGAAAGTTGGTAGTCAAATGCAAGCGAGAGTTGCAATGCTCATAGAGATCTTCTCATCCTCTTTTGGCCGAGGTTCGACTGTGTATTCAACTTTATCTCTAAAGACTTGATATTTTTTACCTGATGATGTGTCTTGCACGAGATAACTCGGGTGGCATTGGGATCCCATATAATAACATCAGCATCAGAACCAACCGCTATACGACCCTGAAAAACGAGAGAAAAACTGAATAAATTTGAGGAATCAAATTGAATTAAGAAATTAACAGGTCTACTGTAACTTCAAAATTGAGGGCGAGCTCTGCCACTCAATAGGTTCTTCAGATCATATTAACCCACTGAGTACAAGCGTTCTCACCTTGCTGATTGAAAAAATACAGTAGGGCAATATAATGGGTCATATGGGCAGATAGTTTGATTAACCCATTGAGTGGCAGCAGTCTCCACTTGACGAGTAAAATCGTCTGGCGTTAGACAGAGTAAAATACTAATGTAGGGCGCATCAGGGTGCATTGTCACTTAAAGGGTTAACCCATCGAGTGCTGCTACAACTTTCCCCTTGATGAGTAAAATGGTTTGGCATTAGACAGAGTAAAATAGGGCGTGTCAGGGCACAATGCAACTCGAGTAGTTAACTCTAAAATGTGTGATTTTCACTGCTTAACTTTCATACTAGATGCACAGAATGTCACATACACAAGTGTCATATCAAAATCTGCTCACCTTTTGAGGATAAATATTGAAAATTTTCGCTGCCTCTGTGCTTGTAACTGCTACAAATCGACACGGATCCATCTTGCCGCTATGCTACACAATATAAAGAGATTGAATGATTGCACTCGGCAAAATTTCTTGACATAAAAGTCAAAAGAAAATTCAACACCAAAGAACGACTCTTTCAGGGTTGTTTTCTAAATTTACAGTACACTAGCTGTTGACAAATGAAACAAAATCCAACTTACCACGCCCTTTTCCCAGATAACAGACATGCGGTCCTCGACACCTATAGAACAAAATTGGTAGAACAGCGGTTATTACGTGTGTCGGACCTCTAGGGAGAACAGTTTAGAACTGATAAAGCTATCCAGTATAAATAAAGTTTAGTTTAGTAACACTTGATCAATAAGAGATGACTCTTACTGGGCCTCTAGCAAGAACAGTTTAGAATAGTTAGTTTAGTTTAGGTTTCCTCCTCTAGTAACACTGGATGAATAAGAGATTACACTTACTGGACCTCTAGGGGGAACAGTTTAGAACTGATACAGCTATCCAGTATAAGTTGGTTTAGTTTAGGTTTCAACCTGTAGTAACACTGGACTAATGAGAGATGAGCAGTAAAAATAAAATTTCAAAATAATGTAAACATATAAATATATATGAGCATTTACAAACTTACCATTTACACCGTTAGGTATTTTTCTAAAGTCATCTTTGCCCAGAGCTTTTTGGTTTGCACTAAATGTACAGTTATCAGTTCCTGTGCATTGAAGATCACCACTGAAACAAAAATCAATAATACTAATGATGGTCATGTCATGATTAAGGTGATATGGTGATGCAAAAATATGCTGACCTACAGTAAATCTGACCTAGGTTGGCACGTCTCGGCATTTTTTAAAAATCTGTTTCCATGTTTTGGAGCACTAGTAATCACGTTTTTACGAATAATTGAAATCGGAATATAAAGCATGCCGTTTTCTGTGGAAACATGAACTACCGTAACACGACAACTTTTCTTTTGGAGTCTTACCTAAATTATATATATAGAATACTCGTCAATTTTTAACCTTAGACCGAAGTGTGTTTAGTTAATTGAACTACGAAACAAATTCTATAATCGTTGACTTTTTAACAACTATCAGCACCAAAAAATTCTTAATTTGGCTGAATTAAGGTAGGTAAAAAAAATGCCAACCTTGTTTTCGAGGGCTGATGGTGATGATGATTCATGTGATAATGGTGGTTAGAATGATGATGGTGATTGTGGCGTGGTGATTGTGGCGTGGTGATGATGGTGGTAGAGATGATGGTGGTATTCACATCAATATTCACATATACAATATTATGTAATATAAAACCCATCCATATCATTCAAGGTTCCCATCTTTGAAACCAAATGTTTTGTAAAAAAAATTCACATCAATATTCACATATACAGTAAAAATTCACATCAATATTATGTAATATAAAACCCATCCATATCATTCAAGGTTCCCATCTTCGAAACCAAATGTTTTGTAAAAAAAATACCTGTAAGGATATATAAATCCAAACTTACTTAGCGAGGAGGTCCATGAGATAGGCGGGCGTGGTAGTGTCTGGACGTAATGGAGGTCCCATCACATGACCCGCAGCATGTCGCCAACATTTATGCCAATAATTAGTACCATCTGTGCCGAGGCAGGCAGCAATAGGTTCACCAAACGTCACACATCCTCTCCTGCGGGCGTCGGCGATCACCTCGGCACTACTTTTACTCATAACATGAACAACGTATAATGGGCAGTTCACCTGGAAACAATAGGAAAATACACAATTTTTTTATATGACTACAAAACTAGAACCATAGTCAATCAAGATACGGTATAATAAAACGAGTTGTTCTCTGAGCAAAAAAAATTATAATTTTTGACAAGCTTTCGGCCACTAGCCTGTGGTCTTCTACAGATGAAACCTGAGAACAGCTTCATCCAACTATGCTTCATCCATATTTTCAAAGATAGCCCTTACCTGACTGGCTATGGTGATGGCTCGAAGTGTCGCTTCAGCCTCAACCTTGAAATGAAAATTTCATTAATTTGGTGTCCAAACTCACAAAAGAGTCCACTGTCTGAATTTAGTGTGTAGTACAAGGTTTATCAGCCCTCGAAAACCGTCAAAATTGAGGTCGGCAAAAAAATGCCGACCTAAATCTGACCTTGGTCGGCATGTCTCCGCATTTTTTAAAATCTGTTTCCATGTCTTGGAGCACTAGTAATCATTGAAATTGGAATATAAACACAAACTACAGTTAATAGTAATACCACAACTTTTCTTTTGGAGTCTTGCCTAAATTATATATAGAATATACCCATCAATTTTTAACCAAAGTGTGTTCACTTAATCGAACTACGAATCGAATTCTATAATCGCTGACTTTTTAACAGCTACATCAGCACCAAAACATTCTTACTTTGGCTGAATTAAGGTTAGCAAAAATTTGCCGACCTGGGAGATTGATAGGTTGGCATTGCTGAATGCCGACCTCGTTTTCGAAGGCCAGACGATTTCGAGGGCCAGACGATTTCGAACGCCAGACGATTTTACTCGTCAATGCATGGGGAAGTTCTGCAGGTTAAGGTACGTAAAGTAGCTTGGAATGTTATAAAGCTTACCCATTCTGGACGACACATTTCATGTCCTTCGGGACCAGTGATACCAAGGTTTACCATTTTTTTGGAGCACTAAAATACAAAATAAAACACTCCACACACTGTGATACGAGGGCTTGATCAACAGGCTTCATAATTCTGGTTGGGAAAAATATGCCTTGAAATGTATACCTCGTGAATTAAGTCACCATTTTCGGCATGGACCATGGCTAGGGCTCCAATATCTTTGCACTTGGAGTAAATGTGATACATTTCTTCATCCGTTGTCATCATTACATCTTTGTATGCCATAAATGTCTTGAAAGAATTGACACCTAGATATAAAACAAATTATAACAGGTCATTCCACAAAACATTCATACCTTTATTTCCCAATGAGGAAAATCAAAGTTAACACCCCTACCCCCCTTTGGATATCACAAATTCCACTCCCCTATCCCTTCCGACGGCAGAGCAGAGCATGAAATAATTTTAAAATTTGTCCGGAAAAACTTCCGACCAAAACGAAATTTGTCCGGAAATCTTCTTGACCCGACAAGCTGGAAGATATTAAAAACAATACGTTTCCTTGATTACTTTATATTAGCCTAATATAGATAATCCAAACTTACAGATGGTACTCACTGTGCTGAGCACCGACCCGATCAGTAAGAAAACATTTTTCTTTTTCTCAAAATTTGGCCGGACAAAATTTCCGATCATTTCAGCATTTGGTCGGAAAAATCGGAATTTGGTCGGAAACCCGCCGGCCGCCGGCTGTTATTTCAGGCTCTGCAGAGATATCCTCCTTGGGTGCAGGGTGGATCTTTTCTGGCACGACCCAATATATATACATTCGAAGTGTCTATACAGCCGGCAATTTAGGAAACTGCCGGCTATATACAGTAGTTACTACCGGGTGGCGCAAAAAAAAGTATAACTGTTTGATTACATATAGCTCAAAGACCATAAGCAGTAGAACCCAAAATCGAGTTTCATTGCATCCAGCGATGTCTAACTTAAATTTTGGTATACTCGACAGGCATTTTCGTCCAAGATTGACTGAGATATGAGTGTTTAAACTTTTGTTAGCAAATTTGAAACGGTCACAAATTAGCTAAAAACGGCCTATTAAACTGATTTTTAGCTAATTTGTGACCGCTTCAAAATTGTTAACAAAAGTTTAAACTCTTATATCTCAGTTAATCTTGGACGAATATGCCTGTCAAATATACCAAAATTTAAGTT